AAGCCATGTGTAAGTATATTTAAATAGGCATGCATAGTTTAGTTCCACTGAATGTGTTATTTATACACATAGTAGATTTTTTTCTTTTAAAAACATAACTATTTATAATGCTCCCTAAATAATAATAAAATAAATTATAGTAATGGAGTTAGTAAAGTTTTCCCCAAATCTTTGTCTTCAAAAATAAGGGGGCGTCTTATATTCCGAAAAATACGGTAAAGGTTAAATCCCAGTCAAACAAGAGTGTCTCAAGGTTTGGAACTCAAGGTTTGTTCATTGGCTGCCTTCATTCCAGTATCTCCACTCAAAATTAGGAACGAATATGCGCATATTGCCCTTGTGTAGCTCTGTGCAAACTTGTGAAACAAACTTTTACTACGTCATATTTAATGACATTAGGCTTCTCATTTCCTAGCAAGTTTAATTAGCGACTGTATTTTTTTTCTATATTCACAATTGTCAAGTTTTTTTTTTTTCAATTTCACGTATTGTAAATGTGTAAAGTTTTTTTTCGGTTCGACAGACAGTCGAGGTTTATAAGGTTCATGAAGCATTAAGCTTGTCAAGGTTTATAAGTTCATCATGCATTAAGTTTGTCAAGGTGTATAAGTTAATCATGGGATAAGTTTGTCAAGGTTTATAAGGTTCATGAAGCATTAAGCTTGTCAAGGTTTATAAGTTCATCATGCATTAAGTTTGTCAAGGTTTATGAGTTCATCATAGGTAAGTTTGTCAAGGTTTATAAGACCATCAAGCAGTAAGTATGTCAAGGTTTATAAGTTAATCATAGGATAAGTTTGTCAAGGTGTATAAGTTAATAATAGGATAAGTTTGTCAAGGTGTATAAGTTCATCATGCATTAAGTTTGTCAAGGTGTATAAGTTAATCATAGGATAAGTTTGTCAAGGTGTATAAGTTAATCATAGGATAAGTTTGTCAATGTGTATAAGTTCATCATGCATTAAGTTTGTCAAGGTTTATAAGTTAATCATAGGATAAGTTTGTCAAGGTTTATAAGTTAATCATAGGATAAGTTTGTCAAGGTGTATAAGTTCGTCATGCATTAAGTTTGTCAAGGTGTATAAGTTCATCGTGCATCAAGTTCGTCAAGGTTTATGAGTTCATCATACGGTAAGTTTGTCAAAGTTTATAAGACCATCAAGCAGTAAGTATGTCAAGGTTTATAAGACCATCAAGCAGTAAGTATGTCAAGGTTTATAAGGTTCATTGTGTTGTAATTTGTCAATGATTTCTTCGAATATAA